ATATTCTAAAGCTAAGACCATACTAAGAAATTTAGGTGGGCATATGAAAAACCAATAAGCTTATGAGCAGTAATTCATCTGTAAAGAAAGAACTTCTGTGTTCTCAGTTTGTGTTCAGTCGCAAAAGCTACGAACAGGGAAAGGCAAGGACCTGCCACGCAATGGGGCGATTAGCGAGGAGCACCCAGGAACACCCTACATCAGTGCCAGAGACATCAGACTTTAGTACTGTTGTCTGACAGGGAAGCTTGCAAACACTTCATGAAGGGGACGGTGCCAGCTCACATCCTCTCCCCAACAATGTAAGGAAACAAAAACAAAATTCTGATGAAAACTTGAGTTTTAATACCCAAGTATATTTGTGTCAGTATACATTTGATTTAAAAAGCTTAAAATGTGCTGATTGCAAAATCTCATTTAATAATCGAGAAGCTTTATACTATTTTAGGATCTAGGCCATAATGCAGAAATAAAAAAGTGGTATTTGCTTTCAATACTTGAAGCAAGAGCTGTGTTAATAGGAGTTAAGATCACACATCAAAAGGCAGTATGAGCTAAAGCTACTTAATTTAATAAATTAGGCATTTTTGTCATTATTTAATTATCTAAGAGTAATCAAAAGCAATAACTGCATTTTCATAGATAAGGAAGTAATTCGAGAAACAAGGCTGATTGAGCAAGACTACCTCATGGATTCTTTTTCTGGAATAAGCTAATTTGATAAGTATCATTTGGAAGAGCAAATGATTAAAATGTACACACGTGGAAGTGGTAGCTGTAAATTAAAGTAAAAAAAAAAGACTTAAGTAATCAGAAAATATACTTGGAAAGACTTTTTTTAACCATTGAAGAGCTGTATAGAAAGACCAAAACCTTTCATATGTGTGGGTGCTTTTTTTTCTTGTATTATAAACTAACTGTCACTTTGTTTGCTGCTTACATGCAAAATGCTTTTTCAGGTGCTGAGAGTTTTTCCAAAGACTGGACTTACTGGGAATTTGTCTGACACCAAGTGGAAATTAGAATGGTTCCAGCACCTTCCACACTGATTGAGAGAGGGGGGAAATACTGGGATTTAGAGACATGTAGATTTTAGAGCCTGATAAACCTGCGTGGTTTATCTACACTAAAAATGAAGCATTTGTGTTTGTGAAAGCACATCCTTACATTGGCCAATTTCAAAAGGATGACAAAACATTGCTTCCATTTTTTTGCGTCAGAAGTATGCCTTGTCTACCAGGAATTTAAACAAGTCAATATGCTTCCATGAAATGGAGTTTTTAGTCTGTGTGTTTATTTAAAAAAAAAAAATCACTTAGAAAAAGTTGCTGAGACACATACTTCAACATCTGAAAATATCAAAAATACTTCTATACAGTTTGTTTAACTGAATTAGTGACTACTCAGTTTGCCCTTGCCTTTTTGTTAAGCTTTAGAAGCTGAACATTCTTCAAATACTGGTGAAATTCAGAATTATTTCCTTTTCTATGCTACATCTAATTCTCCATCCTGAGGGACACCGTGCCCTACAGATGCTCTCTGTAACATGTAATACTAAACTAAGGTTTAGAAGGAAGGACTGCTAGGAGAGGTAGATTGCCCAGCTGGGGGGATTCTAGGAGTAATGAAGCTTTGGAAGTTCAGAGATGGGCATTTTGGTGGAAGGCACTAGGTGTAATAATCTTAACCTCTAAGAGACACCTACTTGGGACTGCAGCTGAGGAGGCATTGTGTCTCTTTACCCTCTCTGACACCACTCAGAAATGTCCAGAGCTCCACACCTACTCACACTTCTCACCCTCTGCACTGGAGTCTGTAAAGCACAGTTGCACTATGCAGGACTTTGCACAAACAGATTAAAGAGAACCATTCTTGACCTCAGAGTACGATCATTTCCACTCTTAATATACTTAGGTAATTTCCAGTCTGAAATTATTTTTCCTCTCCCTCAATGTTTGCCTTCAAGTTTTAGGAGCCATCTCCTGAGGAACAAATGCCAGTTTTGGCCTTATCCCAGCCAACTGACAGCACACTGTAAGAAAGGAAATATACAGAAAATTATCTGGGTGGTAGAAATGACAATTCTTTTGTCCTTTAATTTCTGATCAAAGTATCTGAGTGACCAGAGACAGATAGCATCATCCACACTGGTAAAAATGCATTCAGACACTTCTGTAACTTCCTTTAATAACTGCGGAATCAGTTGAGAGCAGGTCACCCAGCCGAGGTGAGAACAGAGAGCAGTTGATGACTAACCTCCATCTCAAGCAGGAGTGGATTCATGTACGGGGGTGAAGTCTACCTTTTCCCCTGGTCCCCCATCCTCAGTGTTGCTTTGATTTATGAAAAAATACTTAAAGTCAGATAACGTTAGTTGTTCAGCACTTAAATAATTTGTATAGAAACCCATCAAATAAACAGCTTATGAGATACTAGTTTAAAATTGTTATTTCCTAAGGTTTAGCATCTATCACTAGTTTATTTCTCCCAATTGCTCTTTATAATGAACTATTAAGCATTCAAACTCTACATAGTCTAAGTTAACTAACAATTTCTCAGCCATCCATATTGGATTTAATTGAACTAAATTAGCAATAAAGTAACTGTTACACAAGTCCATTGTTTAGAGTAGGAGAAAGAGCTAGTTTTCCTCAGAAATTGGCAAGAAAAATCTTTGTATTACTACTGCTTCCAGATCTGGAATGTGTCTTATTCTAGGAAAACATTAATTCTGGTTTAGCACAGAGCCAAGTTCATATCAAGACTAGTACACTCTAACTTTCATGCTGTCATCTCCTTTGGGAGTCTGAATATAGGACTTCAGACTCTTCAGATGGACTTTTAAAGATGCCCTCTCACTGGTCCACGTCAACCTGGGTTTCTCTCTACCACTGTGCTGCTACTTAAGTTTAACTGAGCACTAAGGACTCAAAGAGAACTGTTTCAAGAACAAAAAGGGAGTCCTGGACTATGTCAAATTTGCCATCCTACAACTGGGAACCCGGGATATCTAAACTTCCCACAAGTAGTATCGGTTTTAACTACCCACTTTCTAAATCAGCTACAAAGACCTGTATTCCCTTGTCTACTCCAACAATATTCTGTTATCCGCTACCCAGTTTTACATCTGACATTGTCAGTTACACATGGGAAAGATGTGGGGGAAGGAAAAAAAAAAAAAAACAAACCACACATTCAACATGGAAAAGAAACAATAGGAGAGTGCCCTGAAGGTGCCCAACTTGTGGGTTTAGTCTCTCTTTTTTGTAAGGGGACTTGGGATAACGGAGAATGCCAAGAATAAGATGAAAAGATGCAACTTACTGGGGGTCTGTTGGAAAAAATAGGCACATGGAGACAAGAGAGGCACTAGAAGGTTACATGAACTCAAACTCAGGCTTCTAACGACATGCACAAAGTGACTGGTGAGTCAGAGATAACATTAAGCTTTAGAAATCAGTTTTTAAAAATACCAGAATCTCCCGATTCAGATCCTCGTTTTGGATACTTTAGATGGCAAGCTTTGTGAAAGGAGGCAAAAACAAATACAACATCAAAATATTTTGTGTTTATTAATATACAAAAATAGTCTTCTGGCATTAACGCTACAAATTGTGTCCACAAAAAAGCCAACATGGAAGGATGGCCCTAAAGGAAGGGGGACTCTCATCAAAGAACACAGACTCTAATAATAGCAACTTCTCTACCATGCTTTGGTACCCTATGGTCTCTCTCCATCCTTTAATCACAGTGAAAAGAATTAAATTTCTTCAATAAATGAAAACATTTAAACCTGATCTCTATGGACCAGTAAGATGGGGTCTAATTTCAGTGGAGAAACTACCCAGTTGGTGAAGTCGAGAGGCGACAGGGAAGATGGGACAATCACCTCAGTTCTTAGTAACTGCCCAGTTCTGCATTAAATGTGTAATTCTAGAATAAAATTAAAGTCCGCTTCAGTCCGACTATCCTGATACATACCATAATAGCAGAGACACTACTCTCACATCTCTAGATTGAAGTCCTATTTTCAAGTGATTTCTTTTTCTTTAACTAAATATTATTCAAGCTAGGAAACAAAGACTTCTACTAGAAGACTCCTAACTTTAGGAACCAATTCTTCTGCTGATGCCAAGGAGTTATGCAGATCTGTAAGCACTGGGCAGGAAAGAATGGATCATTTCGGCACTGGTCCCTTCATCCCAACCATCTTGGATGGTTACAAAAGCCTAATATGAAATCTTGGATGGTTACAAAAGCCTAATATTCAGAAGTGCCTTGGGAAGTTAGTAACACAAATTCCATTAAAAGACGAAGCAACTTCTAAAGGCTAGAGTTTTAGAAAAATCTTCCTTTAAAAAGCAAAGGACAGAGACATCTAGACTTTCAGAACAAGTTGCTCTTTAAGCTACTGAACTCATCTGTTTCTAATAACCATAGTATCTGGACACACATTAGTCTGCACTGAGCACTGTGAAAGTTAAGCTAAGTTAAAAAAGATATTTCTTTTTCAAACTATGAGTCATAAAGACAGAGACGAAGTAATTAGCACAAGGTCATCCTGTACCTGAACTCAGAACCAAAACTGTATCAATAAAGTTCCTAGCTCTCATCTCAGCCAGTAACCTATCCTATTTCTCTCTGTCGTTTAAATAAACACAAACTTCTATTTCCACCCCAGCAGAGGCTTATGCATTAGAAGAGAGGGAATTCATTCCTCAGTCACTAGGCTCTTACCAATTAATGTATATTCTAACCAGGCTCTTTGGATTAGGGGCTGGTTTTTGGTTTGTTTGGGGTTGGTTTTGGGTTTTTTGGGGGTTTAGGTTTTTTTTTTCCCCTCTTTTTTTTCTTTGCCACTCTTAGGTATTACCTGCACCTATCTTCAAGGTACACCAGATGAACAAAAATTTTAAGAGGCTATGTGGTCCTACAGAGGGATTGCTTCTCCCTTATGCCTGTGGTTCCAATTTGCTGAGGGACAAAGGACCACACTGAAGTCATGTGTGTAATCCTAGGTGAGCCACCAGCTCAGAAGCACTACTGAAATGCCGACTGCATTGTGTGCACACAAAGGGCTTCTCCCCTTCGTGAGTCTTCCCATGGAGGATGAGGCTGGAGCTGCGTGTGAAACGGTCACCACAGTATGAACACTGAAATACACGTTCCCCACGGTGTACCGCTTGGTGCTGGGTCAGAGCCGAGTTGCGGCTGAAGCTCTTCCCGCACTGCGTGCATTTGTAAATCTTCTTTGTCGTGTGGCTACGCTGGTGCTGGAGAAGGTTTGAGCTGCTGCTGAAGCTTTTGCTGCACACAGTGCACTGATAAGGACTCCGTCCTGGTGAACGTCCTCCCGAGATCACAGTGTCCTGGAAGTCTCTCAGGTTACAGTTTCTCTTCCCAGACACCTCTGCCTGTTTGTCTTCAAAGGGTGTTTCCAAACTGGTATTTTGAGCCATTTCATCTTTCTGACAACCTAGGTCACCATTTTGGAATGTGTTTTCTCTTTGATCTCCTGATGACAACTTGTGTTTTTCCACATGTCCAAGCCTTTCCTGTTCATGCGTCTCCATTTTTTTCAAGTCTATCAACCACTGCACGTTTAAAAAAGAAGAAAAAAGTAATTTGCTATTGTCTGCAAATAACAGACTTAATTCTTTAGTACCTGTACTTTGGAGCCAAGAATAAGCAGAATAACAAAATTAGGCTGTAACCAGTTAAGCTGAAAGGTAAAAGACTCCCATCTTCACTGAGGTTACTACAGAGTCTTTAAGGGCTGTGTAAACCTAGAAATACACCAATCATTGTAGAGGTATCGCCTTCAAATCACTAGAAGTCAGATCAGGTACTCTTGAGAAACAAGCACACATCTCACCCTGATTCTTGCACTGCTCTGGTGCTCCACAATGGATCAAAGAGCTCCACCAGTCATATATATTCTTACTCCAATTTGCTGTAGGCACAGATGTTTGCCTATGGAGTTGAAATAACAAACTTTACAATGCCACGTGGGAGGAGGATTCTTTCATCCCAGCACAAAGGAACACACATCGCGTCTTAAACTGAATCTACACTGTCTACAGTCTGCTATGTCAAATTTTAATTCAATTTTAAAGAAAGGTGCATTTAAGGTCTTGGTACTAGCTCCTAGACCTGCTGCAAGTAACATCAAGTAGTTTTAGAGAGTCCAAATCAAGGTTTCTAAGCCAGTACTTCCCATCTCTGTCACTTCCTCCCTTGTGCACTCTTGGGTGAATCACTTTGAGAGTTTATTTGCATATACTTCCAAGTCCCAATGAAAGTTACTTTTTAATGCGTCCTTAGTTTTTTTTTTGAGCCTCCACTTGTATAAGGGAGATAACAATCCTTTCACTTTTAGAATGACATTGATGTTGAAATGCATGAATGTTCACCAAGAGTACAGATATAACAGAAATAGGCAACTAATCCATCATGTGTATAATTATTTCTTTAACACAGGAGATTTAATGTATATGGAGTTGTATCTTAAATTTGTAAGCAAGAATGGTCACAATGTTTTGTGCAAAGTACTTCTTACCAGAAACTGCAATTTGGTCACAACAGTCTCAGTATAGTACTCAAACTAGTACAAATAATCCTTTGCTTTCCACATGAATTTTAGAAAAAAAAAGTCTCATTTCTGTTTTTTCATTCAGATTTCTGGTTCTTCCGTTGATGAAGTAGAATTAATCATATTATATTTAAGTTTTCATCAAAGTGCACTCATAGATTTGAGTTACCTAGCTTGCTACTTTGTGACAACTTGTATGCCTGAGCCTTAAGCCTCTCTTTTATTCTGTGAGACTTTTTCCACTTTTCAGCATAATTCATGGCATGCTCAGGCCTCCAGTTCCCACCAGGCAGGTAAAAGGAAAGAAGCCCTTTTGTAGGTACTAAGGCTGACCTACTTCACTTTGTGAAACAGTCACAGGGACCTCATGGGTTCCTGATACTTTCATGGCTTGCTGTCACCATCCCTTCACAAAATCCCTCACAGGATTATCATTCCCTAAAGTTCAAAGCTGTCCCCATGAAAAACCGCAGGTGATTGCACATGGGGAAAAACTAAGATGGTAAAATGTTAAAGGCCTACTATCAACAAATTATTATCATGGCAAGGGGGAGTCAAAGGCCTGACATTTCTATAGTTTCCCTCCTGCCTTAGGGATAAAAACCTCAGATCCAGCCTCTGAGTGGTCCTAGATGGAAACCTTATGCTGGAACAGTTGCCTGGACCGAGTTCCCAAACCCAGCTCTTCTGGCAAGATACGCAGGAACTGTTACAGGACATGCATGCCCTTCATCTGGTCCTTTGTATGTCTCTGCTTTCAGTTTATAACTCCAGTTGCATAAGCCCTGCAGGTACGCCCAACCTACTGGAAGCAGAACTGTCTGAACCACTGGCGCTGCTTCTCCATGCTGACACTTTCCTCTTGCAGAATTACCGCCTTCACCGTGATGATCTGTACTGACTGAAGTGTTCAGGTTCCTAGAGAACTATCAGCTATTTCTAGGTGACAAGCAAGCTTAACCCATTCAAACTTACCCAAATAACCATCATTGAGCTTGAGCTGTGGCAGCTGCGGATTTTTCCAGGCTGAGACAAAAGGGGAATGCAAGGTCTGAAAAACCTGCTGGCAACGAGTACCTTGACATTTTGCCTGTACAGCATGGCTCATTGCTCCATTGGCATGGACCCTGCTTTTCTCAGGAACTAATGACAGTGTCTTGTCGATAGACAAGTTTCCCGGTTTATGTCGGTCTCCTCCCACATTTCAGAGCTAGCCCTCTGTTCATCATGGTATTAAAACATATCCTAACTAACTTTCCAGCAACAGCATTCTAGTTCTAGCACTACCGTACACATAATAGTAGCCTTTTCTTCCCCCCATCCAAATTATGCAGAAATTGCTGAGCCTTAGTGTTTAATACCTGGTTGAAGGTCGATCAAATCTACTCTTGCATCTCTGAGTCAGCAGCAGCTGGAAAAGAATATTGATGGACTGGCAAGGGCAACAAAACATGGGCACAAGAAGCGTCACCTGAATGAGTCACAAAAAAGTAAGAATTAAAACAAAAACAATTACATATTTTATTGCTACCTACCACAAGTTTTTTGGGGAAAAAAAAAAAAAAACCAAAAAACAAAACACAACAGAAATTCCCCCATACACCAATCACCACAAGGCACTGAAACAACCTGTTTTCATTGAAATCTCATTATTGCTTATCTAGAATTTCTGTCTTCCTTGGATGCAATCCAAACACAAAGTAGGTGATAATTCTGCAATTTATAAAGCACCATTTACAAGTTGTTAAACTTGCATCACATGATTTTTCATTTAAAAAGCTGAATGACATAAAGTCTATACAACTAATGTAATATTGAGTGTATTTCAAAGAGCAGTTTACCCCAGAATTCCACGAATATATATTTTTACTATATAAAATTAAAATTCAGCCCTGATTATTTCAGACACAAGCTTTAAAATGGAATTTAAGTACATGCTAATAGAAAAGGACAATACATAAAAATGTAGCACCTTTTTTATTATTTCATTAACGATAATGTAGTTTTACGGTATTTGAACAGCTCTTTCATGAACCCATGAAGTTATGAACAGTTATGCTGTTTACATAATTTTCATGCTACATAACTGTAACTTTAAATGTAGTAAGAGCAAAAAATCAAAAATACATCTTTTGCTCCTCAATGCTCTTTAGAATTTGCATTATAAAAAAGCCGAGTGCTTTTCCAGCTGTGACAACTGGAAATCTATTAATACCAAACTGTCAAGAGTCAAGAAACTGAGATAATGAATCTTCAGTCTCTGCCAGCATAGCAGCTCTTACGAGCTCAGCTTTGGAGAACAGATGAAAACTGTTGGACAGCAAATACCGTCGCTTGCAGTAGCTATGGCCTCCTCTATTAGCAACTGCAAGTCATATTTAAAAATCCAGTATGTTATGCTATCTCAGCCTTTAAAAGGAAGGCGCGCTCAGCACACTGCTGCAGGAGCTCTCTTACGGCAGAGATGGATGGGAGCCCTGCGGTGGAGGGAAGCTGGTGCGCTGGCAGAATGAAGTGAGAAAAATTTGAAAGTTTTAAAATCATTTTGACTTCGAGGAGGAGCGACTTTCTTCTACCCGATTTGCCCGCGCATTTATTCTCCTTTTCTGAGCGCTGTAACCGAGATGCACATTATGTCCTTATAATAATTACTTACAGCACATCGGAAGTACCGTAGCGCTAAAAATACGGTCTTTACAAACAAGCGGAGAGATGAGGAGCGGCGGGGCCTCTCCCCAGCACCCCCCACCTCCCGGGGTGAGGGAGATGAGATGGGGGGCTGCCGCCCTCCTACCCGCCCGTCCCGCCGCTGGGGGGGAGGGGGGGCTCCCGCTGCCCCCGCCTCGGGTTTCGGCCCAGCCCGGGCTCCCCAGTGCCAAGGTTGGGGCTGGGCTGGCTGCTAACCGGACGGCAGCTGCTCTCCAGGAACCCCCTCTTCCTCCTCTCCCTCCCCAGAAGGGAGAGAGACCTACGGGTTTGGGGGGCGAGAAGAAAAAAAAAACAAAACCAAACACTCAAACCTGATACAGCTTTAATGAAATATTAACTATAAAAATAAAATATAATAAGAAAATAATGAAATATATACAAAACCAATATCGAGCTCCCACTTTGACGATCACGTCACCAGCCAACACTGGGACTGGACTCAGCGGCAGACGGGAACTGGAGTCAGGAATGCACGGATCGGGATCAAAGACAAACAGAGTCCTGCTCAGACGCCGACCATTGTAGAAAGACACCGACCCCTTCGATCCCTCAGCTTTTATACTGAGCATGAGGCAGATGGGATGGAATACCCTGCTGGTCAGTTTTGGGTCACCTGCCCTGTCCGCTCCTCCCCACAGGTGGGACCTCTCTATACTCTTCTGCTTCCCACCCTCCAACGGGGCACACCACGGAGTGAGCTGCCCTCGGGTCTTACAGCAATAAGGATAAGCGGGAGCCTCTCTGCATACCATTCTTTGGTCTTCACTATAAACATCAGGCCTTAGCACTGCTAGAAGCAGGCAATGCCTGAAAAATATGCCATTAATTTCAGAGAGTGCAGTTGGTTAGAATAGACCTAACTGAAAAGTAAAACTACTGAGAAGAAAATTGGTTTTGTTCTACCTCGAACCAGGACACTGAGGGTGGCAAGCAGTACTGTCCCCCAGACACATACTAAAGCCAAGGCGTGGGCGCGACAGCAAAGCATGAGGTGCCAAATCCCCCTTTTGTGTTGTTCATCTGGACGTAGGAATAATATTGCAGACTGCTTACCCTAGCACTTCAGTCACATCTCAGTTCTGCAGGGATTGCCGCCTTGAAGGAACCATTTTGTGTCCCAGGCAGAAAACGTAAGGCCGTGGCAGACCTTTCATCAGCTCCGGAGGGCTTATGAACTCTTTGGTAAGAGGCCAGAGTCCAAGGCCTCCTGAAAAGTTTTTCTCAAGTTTGGTAGCATGTTACTGTGTCTCCTCTCCAACAACTGTCGTCCCC